AGTATGGTTTATGTGTTTTTACGCTCAAAAAAATCTATCTTCACAGACAAATTGATGCAGACTGCTAATCCAGCCTGTGTCTTTTAGAAGAAGCAACCTCGCTACATAAAGCATTGGAGGTGTGTGAATCTTTTAGGTGCACAAGCAACAAAAAGGAGAATGTGATCCCTTTTAACTCAGCTTAAAAGACACACAAGAAGGAACCACTGATTTGATTGGATATTAAAAAAGATAAGAAAAACAACTGCCACTCACTAGCTAGTTTTGCTCTTTGAAGCAGCTCAAATGCCCAATTATCTTCCCATTTTCTTTATTTCACTGTAAAGGTGAGTGGGCGGATGTAACATAGAGGGTGAGAAAGAAGCAGACGGAAAAGGGGGTGGCTGAGGGAAAGAGAGAGAGAAAGGGAGAGATCAGAGCACACTCCGGCTTGGTTACGATCAGACTGTCTGCCGTGCCGAGATAATGTGATAGAGGAACAGGAGAAGAGGGATTTTTGTCCATATTACAGTGCTCCGGTTGGGAGGAAACAACTCTTTTCACCTGCTATGGAATACAGGATTGTTCAAACGGAAACAGGTGATCATCTATTTTCTATTTACTTGAAACACTAGGATTGTACTGCACAGCAAAAATAGTTGAGTCATTTTAGAATTTTTGTTTTAAGGTGAATTATTGATCATTTTGCAATAATGTGAATCCTTCTCCAACCAATAAACAGATTGTTTTGTGTGTAAGGAAATAAGTTTCATTAAAGCTCAGAAAGAGATGTTTTTACACTCATTTTGGTGAAAGATAAATGAATGGTATTTAAAAATGTACTGTTTGAAACTTAATGGCATCACACAAGGTCAAAAAAGTCTCCAATCTCCAACTTATGTTTCATTTCTATGAGTTGAACAACAGAAACGTTGTTGAACTTGGAGAGAGAACAAACTAAAAATGCAAAAAGTAACATTTTTTGTCCATGTATAGCTACTATATATGTGCCCGTAAGTGTGAAACAAAAGCACAAGTGAGAGAGAGTGTGTGTCGTGTGAGGAAATGTGTATTGAGCACGGAGGGAGGGTGCGTGTAAAAGACAGATGGTCACTCAGTGGAGTTGTTCCCCCACTCCCTCTCTCTTTTTCACTCCCTTCTGGGCCCTACATCTTTTCCCTGTCACCTCTCCAGAATCTTACCTCATCTGTTTTTTTCCCTCACCTCTCCTCAGCATCTTTTATCATCTCTTCATCCTGTAGAGTCTGAACTTGGATCTTCACTCACTTTGCTGCGCTCTATCTTTTCAAGCCCTTTTCTTCCCTTCTGATCTTCTGCCCTCTTGTCAGGTTTTTTGCTGAAGAAATCAACTTGAAAATACCAAGAGGTTATTTTGTGACTGTCATTTTGGCCCCTGCCGACACAGCACGTAGGACACTGAAGAGACTTGGGATTTGTGGGGGTAAACAGGGAAACTAAAGACAGAGACAGAAATGGAGTGATTGACAGCTATGGCCAATGAACAGTTCTGAGTATTTTCTGAATATCTTTCGGCTCTGAGACAAATCTGCTGGTTCTTTTGCTGCCTGGGTGCATATGAATGTACTGTACCGGTAGCAAGCAAAACTACATAGAGGTTAAAGTCTGGAAACTTTTCACAAAGACAGTTTGTTTCACCATAGCATGGTTGCTTTCATTTCAAGTTCAAGTCCAAAGTGACACTTCTCTAAAGTAGAATCAATCAGAGATATTCGACTTAACAGTCCCAGTTCAGTCATGCATCCCAGGTTAGTTACCTTCCCCATACTGCTGTCTGTGCTCCTTATGTGGGGACCTTTGGGGTCCAGGGGCCAGAATGACACAGAGCCCATCATCCTTGAGGGGAAATGCTTGGTCGTATGTGACTCCACTCCTTCATCTGAGCCCGCCGGTAACGCCCTGGGCATGTCGGTCCGTTCCGGCTCTGGCCGGGTTGCCTTCTCCGCCAGCCGCCAGACCAACCATGAGCCCACAGACATGAGCAACCGCACCATGATCATCTACTTTGATAATGTGAGTACGTGACTGCTTATCATTCAGTCACAGGGTACTGTTTTGTGGTTTAAGTAAAGCATGAGAGGACAAATTACTGTGTTTTACTATATTTCACATAAGATTATTTACAAAGCTATAATTAAAAAAAAAGTTTCAATGTTTTCCCCACACACAGCTTCTGTGAGCTGCATTCCAAGTATTGGAGTCTTCTAGCAATGAGATGCACATTTGATTTGAGTTCTGACAGTGAGGAAATATGATAATGAGGTAAACACTGAACTTTCAGACTTTCAGCCGAGCTGAGTTTTCACAGATATTCTGGGCTGTTTTAGAAATGTAAATGAAAAAGCATGACTCAGTATTTTGGGAGACGCCTGAGACTGAATAGACAAAAAGAATGACCCAAGTGACCCTGGAGTGAGCATATATATGGGATTGTTTTGACCACTGCCCTACTGTTTATCATTGGTCTTCCAAGGGTTTTATTCACTTCCATACTTTTATATTTTCATGTGTAAATCACATATCATCTTGCCTTCCTCCCTTTTCTCCCTCTCTTTGGTTGCGTCAGATTCTAGTGAACGTGGGCACTCATTTTGACCAAGAGAGCAGCGTCTTCCTGGCACCAAGAAGAGGCGTGTACAGTTTCAACTTCCACGTTGTAAAGGCCTACAATAGACAAACTATTCAAGTATGATACCTCGACTCTGACACTTGCAGTTCTCATTGCAGTGGATCAACATGGACTCTCTAATCCCTTTGTTTGCTCTCTGTTAGGTCAGCCTGATGCTGAACGGCTGGCCAATGATCTCAGCCTTTGCCGGGGACCAGGATGTGACAAGAGAAGCTGCCACTAATGCCGGCCTGGTGATTATGGAGAAGGGGGACAAGGCCTACCTCAGACTGGAGAGAGGCAACCTGATGGGAGGCTGGAAGTACTCCACCTTCTCCGGGTTTCTGGTCTTTCCCTTGTGAGGAAGGTGGATGGGGGGTCAGGTTGAAGTGTTGGAAGGGTGATAGGAGGATAATTGGATGGCGCAGGGGTGACAATGACTGAGAGAAAAATGAAAGGGGGTGGAAGAAAAACAAGGCTTCCATCTTTAACTCTTTATACAGTGCATGAAAGGATGTGTTTTATGCAAAAAATAAAAAATAAATGAGATAAAGATTGTGTAAATTAAGATAATTTTCACTTGAGACCAAAAGAAAAAAAGTGGGAAAAGAAGCAGAGACATTCAGTAAAGTTATCTGTGGCTTTAATTCGCTGTTTCTGTGCATACATATTAGTTGGGTTAAGAGATATTTTAATTGTGATAAAAAGTAGCCATGTGCAATGTGGGCTTCTGTGCTAAGATTTTTTTTTATTCACAATGTTTGAAACACTGCTGTTCTCCACATGGCATCCTGTCTAGCTAACAAACTTGCCAAACTTGCCCTTTACTCTGCTGTGTCGTATGAATGATGCCCCTCTATATGCCTGTTAAATCTCCTGCAACAAATGTTTATTTACACAGAAATTTCTATTGAGGAGAACATATTCAAATAAAATCATATAAGGTTGGCTCATTGTATTGCTTTTACATGAATTGTCAAATATTCCTTCCAACATTTGAAGAGAGACAATATTTTATAAATCATCACTAGACTAACATAGAGAAATAACTGAGTTGATACTAGACTATGTTAGGGGTGTGGCCGTTTAATCTGCTCATGCAAAACAGTATTTCTCCCTCCTCTCATGGTACTCTACTCATTGCCACGGCAGCTGTTTGTAAATATAGCCCTCACCAGCAGAGTTGGCGTTGGCGTGGACCAAGCAGACCAGCATGGGGCAGAGTGCAAGTGTGGTGAATAGCGGATACTCCTTGCAGGGCCGCAGACAGATGGAGGCTTTGGCGAACAGGCAGGCTCCTCTCTACAGGGCTACCATGGATAAAGTGTGGTGTGCTGTCACACGCAGTCACTTACGCTTCCCTGGTTCATGACCACAATCTCTCTCTCTTTCTCTGTTTCTCCGTCTGTCTGTCTCCTATCAGAATCACACTTGCTTGATTTTAGGACAGGCCAGTAAGTATTCCTGGAAATGGAGAACCAAGACATTCATTTGTGGTGTCACATTAATGCACTGAATGAAGAAGCTTTAATGGTAATAGATGGGAGAGTTTGTGGACATATTTTAGGTTATTCTGATCGCGGTGTCCTTATTTCCTCTGCGTAAACTCTCTGAATCTTTTTCCATTTTTTTTACCATGTTATATCACATCTTATTTTGTGATATTTAAGCTCAGAACAGAAATGGTAACTATGATATAGAAATCAAGGCTGGATTACCAACTGTGCAAACAGGCAATTTGGTCTGGGGCCCCTGACCCTGAAGGACCTGCAAAAGCAGCAGTTGCTTTGTGGTAAATTCTAATTTTGTTTGAGAATGTGCATGACTAAAATACATTATCATCTGACCGGGTAAGGGTCTTGACATCTTTATTGCCTGATGTTGAGGCCCTGACCTTACGAGAGACCCTGTATCAAGTTCTAGTTGTAAGGTTTTCTTTATTATTTAAGTAAATTTGTGCTTACATTGAGCATATTCTTAAATTGATTTGTGATTACTCAGATTACCACACAAAAACCTGCACACAATACACAAAAAGAAGAAGGAGAATCTAAATAATAAAGCAGCCACAGCGGCTCAGAATCATATTTCAGCCTGTGGGCACTAGAGGGCGCCAAAATCCAAGTCACCCATGCGAGCTCACAAGTCATCACGTTAGTGCCCAGAAGAAAGCTTTTATTGATACCTCAAAATGTAATAATTAACAAAAATGAAGGACAAAAGTCAATGTGCCCATGTGGTCTGGGTGTATATTTTTAGAAAGCAATTAAGTATTTTCACAAGCTGAAGATGATGCCTGAGCTGTAGCCAATGCAATAAAACCCTGAAACAAACGGACAGTGTAATTCACAAACAGGGCTGTTCGGTTGTGTGCTCCATTAACCCTTTGAGATGATGAAAACACCGTTTATTTTTCTCCAGTCAGCTCTACGGGGCCTGCGCTTCCTAATGTGAGCATCTATGGCAGTAAAAGAGCAATGTTGAAGATCACTCAGTGAAATGGTCCCAGCTAGGCCGCATTTATTGCTTTCTCAACCTAACTATGGCTCGCATCCCGCCCAGAAGCGGCCGTACATATGACGGATAGCTCGTACAGCCAATGAAATAGCAGTATGCTGCCGGCTTGGGAGACAACGGACCAATCAGCGTTTGATATCATCCGAGGGGCACGCTTTCTACGCTTTCTCTGGCAAGAATGTTAGTTCCTGCTCTTCCCTGGCCGTTTCCTGTAATCGTACAGTGTTGTGAGACGGAGAAAGCCATGTGTGTCGATGCAAAGGTAAATTTAGCACCCCGAAATTATTACTGTGAGAGTTAGGGCAGTGGATACGATGGTTATTTTCAGGTATTTTTGCCGAAAAATAGACGCAGCGCAACCGAAACAGTATTGCGGCCTAACCCGTGTCTGAACGTTGACGAGCAATGGTTATTGTGGCACGTTGCTTTGGTTTGGTCCGGTTTGTTGATGAGATTGAAGGAGTCCGGTAGACTGAATGGTTGGTAGTAAATGACAGAGAAGCGAGGTAACGTTTCCAAACACACAGCCCACCGTGTTTTGAAGCCTGGATATGTTTTCGGTGCCACACACGCTGTTGTAATAGGCACATCTTGGTCGCGGTACAAGCTAATGCTAGCCGACGGGTTTGTGAGAAAGACTGCAATACGACCGGAGAGGAAAGCATCCCGGCTCTCCAGCATCAGTACCCTCCTCGTCTGACTTCACTACCAACTATTTTCATTCATTGGATCTTCCATGGGTCTTCTAGCTTTGTATATTACTACTGAAACGGGCTCGTTTTTCATTTAGTTTCTTTTTCTAGACCTTCTTAATGTCAAATTGAAACCGTTTTCTGGACAATGTGGCCACGACTGAGAGGTTATATTCGAAAACACTGATCCGGAGGTCGGTAGTTTACTGGGCGTTATATGTCATTTAAACTTGTTTATTTTTACTTTGTAGGCCAATGAATTCGTGGTTTGATGCACTTAACTCACAGTAAACTTGGTCGTTTCAGTCACAGCTCTTAAGAAGATAAATGTAAGTGTCTTCATATGAAAGTTGTTTGTGATTCATTCAACTATGCACCTACGCACACTGCTATAGGAACCAGACTTAACGTAGATGAATTATGCTGTGATGTTGATGTACATTAAAGTAACATAGGAGCTGGGAGTTAAACATGAACTTGAATATTGCCTTGTTATCTGCCCCTTGCTATCTTTGTACACTAAAACACACTTTCAACTTTCAAACCATTGAATGAGGCACTCTACATTGAGTAGCGTTTGTTTAAATCATTTCAATGTCATATACTTTTACCTTATTGACGTCTGTGTTTCTCCTCTTTTACCAGCTGTTTACTTAAAAGTTGAGAAGAACTGGACTGCGACTGTTTAGCTTCCATCTCTGAGTCTTTTTAACATTGTGCCCGTCTCCCAGTGTGGAGTGGGCAAGATGGCGGACCCCATCATGGACCTCTTTGAGGATACACCCTTGTTTAACCTGGATGCCCTACCGGACGATTCCTTCTCTCAGGGCTCCTCAGACCCCGTGGAGGAGGCCCTCAAGCTTGCACTGGGCCAGGTGGACCCACCAGCTGAGTCCGAGCTCACGGTCAACACTGGCCTTAATGTTCCTGTAGCAGTTCCCGCCATCCCGGACCCGGCCCCCGTTCAAGTCCCCACACAGCAGCCAGTGCCAGTGGTGACTGCTCAGACTGTTTCCATAGCTGCAGCTCCCACTGTAGCCCCAGCCCCTGTTGATAGTGTACCTCAGATCCAGGCCCAGACCACCATACCTATTGTAAGCAACACCAGCGTGGCCACCAGTAGCACTGTCCTGCTGAGTTCACCTCTGACTGTTTCCAGCTCTCCAGTCACCACCACTGCCACCACGCAGCTCACACAGATAACTCACCAGCTCACTCCACAGCAGTTAGCTGCCATCACACAGCAGGCGGGCGGGAAAATTGTCATTCTCAAAGGTCCCCAGGGTCAAGCCCAGGTGCTGCAGACTGTATCAGGAGCTACAGGCCAGACCAGTGGAAAGGTCATCCGTGTGTTGTCTGGCACTCCTCTTAAACCTGGCATGTCTATACTGCAGGGGGGGACAGTTTTGAATCAGACGAGCCAAGGACAAGCTCAAGTCAAGGTGGGTGCTGCAGGGGTGCAGAGGCTGCTGCAGTCTCCCAACGGGCCAGTCAAACAGATGCTGCTGACCTCCATGCCCCAGCAGACGCAAGGCCAGACGGTTCAGGTGCAGATGGCTCAAGGCCAGACTCAAGTCCAAGTCCAGCCCCAGGCAGCTCAGATCCAGGTCCAGGCTCAGGGCCAGGTGCAGCTTCAGCCAGCCATGCAGGCCCAAACACAGGTAAGCCCCACGTCTTCTGCCACAACAGACAGCAAGGTCTCAACCTGACAGCTGCATCACAGTAGGTGACGCTTGGACGGGTTTTCTGGTTTCCACATTGTTGATGAGTTTCACAAGCTGTATTTTTAGGTCAGTTTTTTTTTCCTGAGTGTCACAATGAATCTCATTCTGTGTATCTGATTCTAGGGTGGTGAAGCAAAGCGGATCACCCTGGTCCTCCAGCAGCCCTCCCAGGCTGGCTCTGCTGCGCCAGCGGGTCAAGCCCAGCAGCAGGTCACACAAATCCAGCAGGTTCAGACAGCCCAAGGGGGGCAACAGCAGCAGACCCAGGCTAGACTGGTGCTGGGTCAGCTCCCTGGAGGGAAACTGGTGCTCCAGGGAAGCCAGCTAGCAGCTCTGACCCAGGCTCGGGCTGCAGGCCAGGCTGGAGGGCAGCCCAAAGTCCTCACAATACAGCTGCAGGTGCAGCAACAGCCCAACCAACAAGGAGGAGTTAAGGTGAGAAAGAAGTGTTTCAGAGTTTTGGAGTACCTGTTAATTTAATTAATTTCTCCAACAGTAAATGTTCTCTTTTCACTCCTCTTTTCCCTCTTCTCTTGTTTGTGACAAATTACTCTGAGCTCTTTCTGTTCTTTTCAGAAATCATGCAAACTGCCAGTTACACTACGTTTATGCAATTGAAAGGGGGTGTTCAAGGTCTTGACTGTCACTGATAAAAGTTTTTCCTAATACACTCAATATTAACATTTGTCTGCTTACAGTTAAGTTTTCATCCTTACCTCATTAGTCTATTATTTCAAAAGGTGAATTGTGAAATCTGACCCCTAGTGACATGTTAGTGCCTGGCTAAATGCCCCCAACTACCACAACACATTTGGCTCTATGTGAATATTTTAGTTTACTAACATTTATGTTAGACTAGAGCAGTTATTTCTACTTGTTTCAGATGTTAATGTTGCATGTGCTGCCTGTTACAGTACACCACTAAAGAACAATGGCTACTTTTGGGTAGTGCTAAGAGATCAGTCCAGATGATTAACATTTCAATTGGTCGGACTAGTATTCATTAGCAGTTAAAGTTAATACTCACTTCTTTTATATCCATTTAAGGACATGCATTGTTGTGAATGACATGTTGTATCAGCACACTATAGCCAGTGAACATTTGATGCATTGTTGTAAAACAGTTAGAATTTTTTTTATATAAAATTTGTCTTTGTCCTTGTTACTTAAGACTTGATAGTTTCAGGTTAAAAATCAGCAATGTTGTCAAATTGATTGTTTGCTCTTAAAAAGAGTTGTATTTTTGTTGGTGTATAATCACCTGAATATTGGAATCATTGTGTTTTTGTTAACTTAGAATGAGTTGTTTTTATGTACAGAGGGAGCGGTGGCTACAATGTTGAACCGCCATGTTTCTACAGTAGCACAGAACAAACAAACCAAACACTGGCTTTAGATAGTCTTATGACCACTGTAGTTTTTCCTTTATGTCTGGAAGGCAAGCAGTATTCAGTTGCTTGCAATCTGCAACTTGACTGCTAGATGCCACTAAATCCTGCACACTGATCCTTTAATGAAACTCAGTTCTCATATTTTCTATATGCTTTACTTCCGAATTCGACGGGGTACGGCTGCAATACGTTCTGGATTAAAATAAATTACATACATACTTACATAACATATCATGCTATTGTGCCATTAGGCTGGAAGTCAAGTCAGAGGCATATTAAAGGAGATTTGAAGCAGCGAAACAACAAAATACACAAATAAACAATGTTGGGTAGGCAATATGATCTGGAGATGCTCTGCTTCTGAAACACTCTCAGTGGCATATGAAGACAAGACAAGAGCAAAACTTTGTCACAGATGCAACGTCTCTGGATTATTCTGTTCCCCATAAGCATGAGCCTCCACAATTTCATCATTGCTGCTAGCAAGCTTACCTGGTGGTGGCTGTGGCTCAGAGGAAGACAGGTCGTTCACTAATCAGAAGGTTGTTGGTTCCATCCCTGGCTCCTCCCGCCACATGTTGAAGTATCCTNNCCGGCTCCTCCTGCCATGTGTCGAAGTATCCTTGAGCAAGATACTGAACCCCAAATTGCTGTGTGAATGTGTATGAATGCATTAGTTTCAAGATACTGAACCCCAAATTGCTGTATGAATGTGTATGAATGCATTAGTTTTGTTCCGATGGCCTTTGCCATCACTGAGTGAATGTGTGTGAAAGGTGGAATGTGCATGTAGTGTAAAAGCGCTTTGAGTGGTCGAAAGACTAGAAAGGCATGGAAAAGCCTTGGCATATGCAAGCCTTATACAAATGGTCAAGTGTTTAGTCCTATGAAGGTATTATTGGGAGGCAAAACGAATTAAGCCACCTTGTACTACTGAGTAGCTTGGGGAGATTGGCCTTTGGCCTTCCACCATTGTGCCTGCTGTTTAAGGACTCTTTCTCCAAGCTAAAAACAGCTGCAGCCAAACGTAGGACAGGAATTTCATAAACAGCGCAGAATGTTGATACACAACCATGCAGTATTAAAGAATATTGAAGAGTAAATGACCACTGAGCAGGTTACATAGGGGGGACATTAACAAAACCTTCATAAAATGTTCACGCATTCATTCACATTCACACCCCGATGCACAGCATCGGGAGCAATTTGGGGTTCAGTATATTGCATAAGGACACTTCGACTTCCCGCAGCAGGGGATCCAACCAACTACCTTCCGATTAGTGGAGGACCCGCTCTGCCTCTGAGCCACAGCCGCCAGAAGCTTTAAGGCAGTAAGGAAACAAGTTTTCCCCAGCTCAAACCTTAATTCAATTTGGGGCTGGAAATCAAGCACCTACCATATCGTTTTTAGGTAGCTTGTGCCTCAGGAAATGGTGGTGGGGGGGATAAAATTGCTGTGCAGGAGAGATCAGATTGGTATTAGGGCTCTTCCTGCCTGTCTGTCAGTTTCAATATAGTCACAGCAACAGTTTAAAAGTGCACATTTAAAGAATCCTGTATTTAAGATGAATATGTGTAGGTATGGAGGACGTTATCATTTAACATATTCATTTATGAATGAATAAAAAAAAAATGCTGGTTGGTAGAGGAGAAAAGGTGGATCCCAGTTGGCTGAGGGGATTCTGGCTGTGGCTGTTTTGATTCGTCATGTCAATAGGAGGGCTGGCTAACCTTCTCCACAACTACTGCTATGTGGCAGTGGGATGATCTGTTGTAAAGAGAGGCAGATCTGAAGTATTTTGTACTGGCTTTTCTCTTGCTGCTTTCGCTTCTTTATTTGTCTTGAGGTTAAGTTTTCCTGTCAGTACGTTTTCAGTGCCTCCTCTTTAATTCCAAATGGTACAATTATTTTCTCAATTGCACAAATGATGTATTGTTGACTCTTCGCATCTACACTGATACAGGTGATATTTTGTCTAAAGCCTTATTTTCCATACAATTTTCAATGTCATTATTACCAAAACCACATTAACTCAATCTCTCCACATTAAAGCCAGGGCACAGCATAACCCCCTCCCCCCTTCTTTCCTCAGCTAACCCCATCCCTCCTGACTGCTCCACCCCTGATAACATTGTTATCTATGAGGCAGAGGGAGGCGGTGGCCCAACGGATACTCCTCCACTCAAACTTAATACACCATTGAACCAGACTACAAAGGTCCTGATGTACTGTACAAGGTTATCCAGTTGTGGATACAGTGGGCAGAACCACACAGACAGAATGGGAAGGGAGGGTTACTAACATGAGCTGATGACCAAAAACTGTTGATTTACAGATGTACATAAATGGGTGATGGCCTGCATATGTATACTGTAGCTACATTGTAGTTGATGGGCACCTTTGGAAAAATGTTAACCACGTTTTCTGCTACAAGTTTCTAACATTGCAAATTGAATCAAAGCTCCTGTAACTTCTCCTTACAGTAACACAATCAGCAAAGCAACCTACACATACTTTCCAACCATGAGACCCTCAAAAATAGGGAGGATTCTGAAATCAAACAGGAGGGGCTGAGGCTGAGGTTCCTCCCCCCCAAAAAAGAGACTGCATTCTGGTGACTTTTAAAGAATGAAAATAACTAGGTATGCACGGTAATTATCGAGGCAGATAAATCATTGGTGGAAAATGGTAACTCAAACACGGCCATTTTAATTAACTGAAGCAAACTGGGAGCGGTCAATGAAAAATGTGAGTTTCCCAGGAGGGTTGGCATGATGTATGATTCTTCTCTACAAACCTTTTGCTCACTGCAACCCCTGCTTTCTATCATAGGGAATGAAACAACATGACTGCACAGTATAGTTCCATATTCAGTAATGAGTGAAGGCAAAGTAGAAGTTGTCTGGATGTACCTACTGTTACAGTATATAAGCATGTGCATATTATGTATATAACATACAGTAAATGAAAGGAACAAGGAACTGTGTTGCTGGGGGACAAAGTATGGTCAAGAAGGCCAATTTGAGTACTACATCTACGACAAGACTTATTAGATGATAAAACACTACACTGGGGCTTATAGTAAGACTCTGGAAAGTTATTGCAGTGGCCTTCTTGAAAGCCCACATAGCGGTGGCAAAGTGCCCTCTTGGGTGCTCTTCCAGTGGACAAAATGTGGTAGAGTGCCCTTTAAGGTCCTAACCCTAACCATGACTTAGCTGTTTCATCATAAATGCATCACAACTTTCTGCATGCTGCTGCCCCACTGCACAGTTGATGCACAGGTTATAACCACACATTCTTTGTGGGGGACATGTTCCACCAATACTGAAAAAGTATCACTTTGTCCCCAGCAATATACAGTAGAAAATATGTTAAATATGTCCTTTAGTTATGGAAAACATAAGTAAAAGTGAATCCCCCAACTTGATTGCGCCCCGTACCCTCAGTTAGTGTTGCCAGCTTGGTCACTTTTCAGACTTTCTTAGCAACTTTATCTCTAAAAAGTCACTAATGATTATGTCATTTTTCCTATTCGCTACTAATGGAAATTAGTTGCTAGGTGTGTTTAAAGTCAGTTAACAGCAAGCAACCAAAACTAAATGTGGAAAGGCACCCACCATCTTGGGGGAATCAAAGACTATTTCTTTAAAAGTGAATTCAAATGTCATAGTCCTCAAAACTGACAAGACACATATTCACAAATATGATGGAATTGTGGAAAAAGTTTAAGATTTCTGTTGGAGGACTCTCATTTGCATCCTCCCATCCTCTTGTTGCCCCTGCCCCTCAATTCAGTTCAATTTTCAATGTTATTTGTAAGAAGTGAAGTTAGTAACATGCATTAATGGGGCATGAATGTGTGCAGAAAGAGGGAGAGGAAGAGAGGAGCTCAGTGCATCATGGGAAATCCCCCGATAGTCTAGGCTAGAGATATTATCTCTTTTCCTAGTTCCTGTGAGTACTCGTGCTGCAGC